ATACGTTCATTTTTTGGGTGTCAGGATGTAAATGAGCCTCTCTCCAAACACAAACAGAGCAATACTTCAGTGAGTGCCAGAGCAGACAGCAAATCAAGTCTTCCTTTCAGAGCTGTGCTGCCATTATGGGAAGCTTTGCTGACAGTTACGAATGCCACTCATCAAAACACCTTCACAGAGTTCTGATAAGTCTAAATAGTACTATTTTATAGTCAATGCCACTGTCACCACAGAGGGCATGAAAGTTGTCTTTTAAATTCATTTCTCAATGTAATGTGAATGCAACTTTATTGTCTACTAGGCATTATCTGAACTCAACCAAATAAATTTGGTGTCAGCTGCCACAGGAACTGTCCTTCTGAATAATCTCTTGGGTTGTCTAAAATGATTGAATATTTCAAACATATAGGTTGGCACTTTTTTTGTTTGTTTGCTTCCTTGCTTGTTTTTAACAGTTACTACCAAGTTACGTCCTCTCATTAGTGCTTCCAGACTTCTCTGGTCTCCTCCCATGCTTTGCACTTTCTGACCATGATTCATTCTTTTTATTAAAAGGAGGAGAGTTATATTCTGCTTCATTACTGCACATACTGCCAGCCAACATCCTTCCCCTTGGCAGCCATGAGCTCCTGCGTGTGCTGAACGTGGAGGGCTGCCCAGAGCAGCATAAATACACACCAGTGATGGTTACAAGACTGAGAACTGCAGTCTCCTGTACTCACTTGACAAGACAGCCTGGTTTCACACTCTGTTCCAGAAGTGCTGGCTACTGGCATCCTCTTGGCTACCACCCCTCTGAAAGTCTGCATGAGCAGTATAAAATAAAAGGCACTAAAGCTCTTCTTTGTGATGAGCTCAAATCTACAGCTGACCTTGCAGAGCTGTGTGATGAGACTTGCTCATCAGCCCTGCTCTTGGGCTATCTGGTTAGCATCACAGAATCATCACAGAAACCTGAATACCAGGTTGAATGGGACCTCAAGTATTACATGCTCCAATGTTTCTTGGTAAAAGCACAGTCGAGACATTTTGCTATTTGCTCTTTTTCCAGGCCAAGACAACACTATGTGTGGCAAAACAGCATCTGGGACTATGAGTGATGAGAGAAAATCATAGAATCCTTTAGGTTGGAAGAGACCTTTAAGATCATCAAGTCCAACCACTACTAAGATCATCAAGCAAACACTACTAAGTCCTATGCTAAAACAAGTCAGAATCTGTCAGGGTTGGAAGAGACCACAAGGATCACCCAGTTCCAACCAAAATATCCCCTTCTAGTACCACGACACTCCACCACGTGGCACCATCACTGCTTCACCATTCTGCTATAAAAGGAGGTAGGAATGTATACAAATTTTGCCACTTCAAAGTAAGTGTTGAAATACTTGGATTCCTCCTCCATGCCTTTAAATTTTTAAAGCTAAATGGGGTCGGGGCGGGGGTGGGAGGGGAAAGTGAGGGGAAACTATAAGTAAGAAATGAATTCATGGGTTAAATCTAAATCCAGCCCATGGTACTCATGACCCCTCCCCAGCAAACCCCAGCCATGCCTCCCCAGCAGAACGTGGCTGCAGGCAGTGCTGTGTTGCTGCCTGATCTCTTGGCTGCTTTTGTGGTTTTTGGGAATCATGGTTCAGCATCAAAACCAGGCTCTTGTAGAAGTTCAAGCAACCCTGGAAACAATGGGCAATTACTTCTGATAAGGTCACAAGCTAATGAAATACAAAAGATGTCTAATAACAGCACTCCAGTGGAAGTGTTAGCAGTCTGATATCCCAAATATACTCCACGTGCCTAGTACATTTGTTTATGGTACAACACTCACACCTCTTGACTTTCCTTCACAGGCACTTTCCAGACTTAAGCACGCATGTAAATATGATATTGTGTTCAATTTGCCACACAAATCACTAAATTAGATGCACAGGCAGCTTCTGCTCCTTCACAAGAGCTTTTTCTAATGGGTATGTCACATTACACCAGTCATTTTTAATAACTGAGAATGTTCTTTGGAAAGTTTGAGAGTTTTCCAAGCCTGGATTACAGCTTGAGCCTGCAAGGTGTTGAATTCATGGGATTTGGGTCAGCAAAGCATTTCTAGGGCTACTCATATCCTTAAAGGTACACAGTTTTTTGGCATTGCTTTGCCATGCTGATTAGGGAGATGCCATGATCAGAGGTTTGAACCTACACTGGGGGCAAGAGGTAGGGTAAGAGTGAAGAGGCAGGCCACCCACCACTGAAAACCAGCCATAATCAACAAAACTGTACTGAAATAATCTGCCCTCCTACATGATAGATGTAGTGCCATAAGCTTAAAGACAGTAGTTGTTTCTATGACACGAGGTTGAGTAGGTTAAATGAAGTAGCTGCTTGATGTTAGAAGACTTCTGAAGCATGTTTTGCCCTCAGGGACAAGTTAACAAAGATGTCTCTTTTCTGGAGGATTTTCACAGATAGCTGAACAGAAAGGCTTTTTATTGAAAACTTTATCTGTATTAACAAAGTTTTATGATTTAAAAAGCTCGCTTTGGGTTTCTGCTAGACAAAGAGCCTGAGCATCAGCTCCTGCAGTAAGAACAGCTGAGGATCTGGGTCATTTTTCCTAGAAGTAATTGATATGACCTGGTGGGAAGGAGTGAAAGTCATCCTGTCAGACCATTGCTGGGTCATTCTCAGCTGCTTTCAGACTCATGGGTGCTTGAAGTGTGAGTCGGGCTGGCCCAGATCACTGAAGATGTCAAAGAAACTATGTGGCAAGGAACTCCTGGTGGTGGTCCTGGAAGATGAGGCTGTGATCAAGAGTTGTGTTACCATGTACATGGAGCCAGGACTAGCAACCCTAGGAGGCTGAACTCCTGACTGAATGACCCTACAAATCAAAATGGCCAAATGTAAGTTCATTTAATTTCTTAAAAAGAGTTTTATTAAGTACATGAAAGCTTCCAGGAGGCATATTAGAAAATGTTCAGGACCTTCTATCAATGCCTTTTTTACTGAAATACCACTGATACATTTGACAGAAATGAACAGTTTTAAAAACATGGCAACAAAAGCCTGAGTATATTGTATACATTTTGGTTTTCAGAGAAAATACAAGATACTACATAAGGATAACATTTAAGTCCTGCTCAAGTCAATGGCAAAAGACCATTATTCTTTAGTGGAACAAAAGATTTCACAGACAAGGTTTTGTACAGGAAGATATGAGTGACCTATGTTTAAGAATATAGTGTATTTATGAAATTACTTTTACAAGCCATTCTTCATAGTGTGTACACTGTAATTAAATACAGTTCTTCAATGACAAAGTCATGAAAAAATACTCTCTGATCACAGAAGGGCACCACTGAAGCAAAGAGAAAGCAGGCCTAGCCTTTGGATTGGTGTTGGCTTCTGATTGCAGTGGTCTGCGTGCAAAGTCCTTGTTTTTATCTGGTCGCTTGCAGCTAAATCCACAAAAGAGTGATGATTCAGCTCCATGATGCCGTGCTCAGCATTCATGGCTTTTGGGCAACAGCTGCTTGTTATAAAAGACATCAGTGCTCGCTGTCAGAGCCCAGATCTTCCCAGCTCAAAATTTTCACTACTGAATGAGAACCTCCTACATGGCCTCAGCTCCAGCTCTGCACTGACCTGGGGAAACTGTTTCATGCAACAGGCTGGTGTGAGGCCACCAGGTATGGCAGGGTTAGCAACAGGGAAGTGCCTGACCTGGCCCAGACAGGGGGGAAGCAGCTGTGTCTGGGTTCCCTTCAAGATGGATGGAACTTAACCAGGTTAAAAAAAAAACATGGCACAATGTGACAGCTCTAAGCTAGTGTTTAAAATCCTTAATCCTGAGTAGTATGAAGCACAAAGGCTCGACTGCACAGAAAGCTGTGGTTTAATATATGACTATGCATGGTATTTTCTATTGTCCAGCAGGACTTCCAGGCACCTAACTCTGGGCAGTGGATCCCATTTTGGCATGCCTAAGCTTTATTCACTAATGCAGTGATGCCCGTAGCTCCTCTGTGCTTCAGGTCTTCATTTGTACAACTGATCAATCATAACAACAATTAGTGCCTCATCAGGCTGTTGTAAAGAAAAAACCTGCTAAAACTGGTTAGGCACTCAGATATTGGATAACAAGGACTTGTAACCTCCTAGGGAAGACTTAAAGAATTTGCATTGTATGAATGTAGATCAAAGTTTAAGCCCTTTAAGACTGAATTTCTGCCCTGCACAAAGTTCCTGGAGGAAGGAGTCCTGTAGTATGCAGGCCTTTTACTGGCCCCTTGCATAACATCACCTTTCTCAAGGCATTTTGATAAATGCAGAGATCCCTGAGAAAGTCCCTGGTCAAGCCATGATGAGCCCCAAGTTAGTTCTTTGCTAGCATGCTCCAGGCAGAAGGACGGGCTGCCTGGCTGCCACGCACAGGCAGGTACTGCCCTCCTCCTGGTCAAGCAGCTCTCCATGGTGTTTTCTAGATGAGTGTAAGGTCTGGTTTCCATTTCCATGAGACAGAGGTGCAGCCGCCAGCAGAAGGCAGCACCAAACCCCTGGGATAATGCTGGCATTGCAGTCAAAGAGAGCCAAAGAGTTTCGACTGCCTGGTGAGAAGATGCAGGCACTGCAGTACCCAGGGCAAAGCCCGTTCAGGCTGCTGGAAGGGCTCTGCATTGACTGGTGCCACTGGCCATTGGCCTTTCCACCCAGCAGAGCTGTCACACAGGTGATAAAAGTGGGGTGTCAGCTACACACTTAGCCCCTCTGGGAAATGGGAACTATCTAAAGAAAAAGGTTACAGGACCTTTGGTGTGGAAATGGCTACTGCACAGTGTCCCAGCTCTTTATAAGAGACTAGACTTCTTTCTGACCTAGTCTTCTCCTGCGACGAAGAGGATGCACATGACAAAACACAGAGCAAAACTTAAAAACCTAGGGTGATTTCACAGCTGGTGTCCATTTAAGCAACCCACAAGTAATTTCCTGTTCAGCCTCTGAGAACAGGTTTAAACTTCGTTTGTGCCATTCATTTCCTTCTTTAGTTCTGCTTGTTCCTCTCTCAAAGGTTCCAGCTCAGGCCCATCCTGTGCGGTTTCTTTTTTCCAGTTATTTCTGTCTTCATTTTCTGTCCTTACAGATTTTGGATCCTCTTCTTTTGCCCTTCTTTCCTTCTCCTCCTTGGCAAGCATACGATAATTATAATAATTCATGATGAACAGGAAGGATCCTGCCAGGACCATCACAGCTCCACATTTAATGAACATATATTTGTAGTCCCCAAAGGTATCAATAAGAGTTCCTGTAAAACATATATTAAAAAATTAAAAAAAGAAGAAAAAGAAACTTAGAGATGAAGGCAAGAATATTGTGTTTTCAGATCCTAAATAAAAAGGGACACCCTTGTGGATTTAGGATAAAATAATAAGACATTCTCTGGGCTTCTGATCTCTTCCACAAATTCTGATTCTGCAAACACTTCACACACGTTCCACTACATAGCCTGTGGGTAGTCAGCTGGAGAAATTATTGGTGGTATTACCTAGATCAATGTTAAATAGAAGGGGACAGAGAACCTACATTTCAAAGCCAAGACTTTTCAGGCACACCAAACTTAAGTCCTCTGTTCACAGTCTTCAGAGTCTTTTCCAATGGCTTCTAGGAGCACATACAAGGACATCTATTTAACTTGGGAGCAGCTTTCAGGAAAAACTTCACGAGATGGCACCTGCCCACTGGGTATCATCTCAGACTCTTGACAAAGACCCTCCAATTTATTCCACCATTCAGCAGCATTAGAGGGGACTCAGCTTTTGGTCACAGCTGCCTTTTCTGCATTTATACTCGTGGTCTAAAGATGAAAGGGCACTGTGTGAAACTTGAAAACATTAGTTCCAGGGAAAGCAAAGATGATGCTGTCAATGTCAGATAATTTCAATGCCAAGACAAATGTGACAGGTTCCTCTCAAAGGTTAATGCCTCTGCTACAGAGTTACGGAGTAATTGAAGGGAGACGACTTAATTGAAATGTCAGTGTTCTCCATTATGTCCAAATGTAATGCAAATCTTACTGGGACTATGATCCTGAGCATTAATTCCCATTTACAGGTGCAACACAGACCATTCTTAACATCCCAAATCTTAATTAAATTAAGACCTGCTCCAAACCTGGCCTTCAGAATACAGATAGCCCTCCTTGAAACTGGCCCATCATCCATTAGCTCTCTGAGTTTTTGGAACATGTTCTCTTCCTTAAAAAGAGGGACCTTTAATTACTTCCAGACTGACCCCTAATGTTGAAAAGCTGATGATTAATTACCCCACTGAATTACACTAACGAGGGATTTTTATGGCCACCAAATGGAATTCTTGAACACAAAAATAATAATGTTTATCTGGTTTTGGTCTACAGTTCTTCCTGAATCATTCCTAGATGTCTTGGTACACCATTTTCTATGCACTGTGTTTTTCATGTTACTGGTGAAACATCAACCAAATGCTAATTGCAACAATTTTTCCTTTTCTGCTAATCAGGATGACCTACAGGTCTCCTAAATGGTTTTCAATGAGAGTTTTAATGAGCAGAGTATTGGAAAATTCAACAGTAGGATAGTCTTGCCTCTTTTCCTTTGAGAATAAGATAAAGTCATAAAGCACACTGGGAACAATTTACTTAGTTCATTAAAGCAGAACACTGCAGTAGGTTATTAAAATGCTGAAGAACCAATAAATTTTCTGCTTATTAAAATGGTGGGGAAAACCCTACAAAACTAATATTACTGATTATTACATAGAACCATTTTAGCCTCATTAGTAGTCTCTGATCATTACCTTAATCTTCCACACAGAAAATGATATAATTCAGAAAACGGTCATTTTAAAATTATATTTTCTTTTGTTTGTCATTAATTAAATAACGAATCTCTAAGACAGCAAGAGGATACAGCTGCTCCTGTCACACTGTATGAGCTACATGGTAATAGGAAGAATTAAGTGGCTCTGCAAGATGTGTCACACAAAGTATTAGCCAGGTCTCAGGTTTGAATCCTGGAAATGGGTTTAAACTGCCTTCTATCTGTGTGTTCTTTAAATTTATTGTGATAGCACCATAGCAGAAGAATGTTTACACATCCAAATGCAGACAACACATGCAGCCTAATTAAACATCTTAGCATACTGAAAGCTGACCAGTTTCCAAATGAGTTATTCAAGCTTGCATACAAGTGAAATCCAAATTACAGGACAGGGCACATAAATAAGATAGTATCTATACACAGAAAGGATATCACCTATAAAGTCATTTAATTCATAGCCAGCTCAGATTTGATAAGGACTGCACTTGGGCCAAATGCCAGATTCAAATATGAGTTCTTCCAGACATGGTGTGCTCCTTGTAGAAACAGAAGGGAGCTCATGCTATAGAGGAAACAAAGTGGAGGCTACTAAAATCACAGGAGATCACTGCTCCCACTTATCTTCAGGTAACTGTAAGCTCTGCTGGAGGTTCAGTATTGTCAGCATGGACCTTTGAGGGTCTCTACCTTTTGATACTTCAGACCATGCCATCCAAAATAAACCTTTTTTTAATTTTATTTTCAGAGCAGCCTAAAATGTATCAGATGCATTAAGATGGCTGAAATCCCTAAGTGGAAGTACTCAGAGCCTTAGAGACAAACAGCAAGGCTTAGTTTTGAGTCAACAAGAGGATTTGATGGAAATGTTGTGTTTTGCTGTGCTTAAATTGTTGTGAATTCCAGCCTTCTGCACCAGGAGGAGTCTCCAGGAGGAGTCCTCTGAAGTGCAGTGTTCTTGGTATTGCAGGAAGTCCCAGTCTGCAAGTTTGGTTCAAGTGTTTGAAGGGACCAGAGACTAAAAGATCCTCTTCGAAATGGCTGACTATAACTGGAGGACTACACAGGAAGGATTATAGAGAAGATGCAGGAGGAGAGACCTAGGACTTGCCTTCCCTGTCCAACTAGTAGAGGAAAACCGGTGGGTAGGAAGCAGAGAAAACACATTTAGAATCAATTCTTTCAAACTGTGCTTGCAGGAGTCTAAATATGAGCAACAAGCCAGTGGACGTAGAGGAAGAAAACACACCCACCTCCAATAGGTGGTCCCAGCAGTATGGTGCAGCACTCTGCAATGGTGACCAGGCCAACAGCACTTGTGAAGCGGGGGGCTCCCACGAGGTCCATGAGTGTCTCAAAGAGCATGGCACACACCATGCCAAAGGCCAGGCCGAAAAAGACGGAGTAGACGACAAGCCCTCTGTAGCCTGAAGCCAGTGGGCACAGAAGGTGGCAGGTGCCATTGAAGGTGATGGCAAAGCTGAAGAAGTATTGAATCCGTGGCCTCACCCACCTGCTGTTTGCAATGATGCCCGTGGTAGGCCGGGCGATCATATCCACGATGGCCAGGATGGAAAGGAGGAAAGCGGACGAATATTCATCAATGCCGATGTGCTTTGCATAAGGTGCCAGAAAAACAATGGGGGCAAAAAACCCCAGGAACATCAGCACGTTCCCAATCAGGTAAATCAAGAACCCTCTGTGCTTGAAGAGGGAAAAATCGAGGTACTGATTGATTTTTTCACAACAGTCTTTTCCTTCTTCCTCTTCCGTTTGGCTCTCCATGGGGACGGCCGTGGGACGACTCATTTCCATGGCATCTTCAGTGACCTGTTTTTTCAGAGCATTCTTCCCTTTCTCAGCCACCTGGGTTTTGACTGATGCTGTGGCTGCCCCAATAGGTCTGAAGAGAGCTCCAGCCACACAGCAGTTTAATAAAATTGCCCCAAGAATTAAAAAGCTGCCCCTCCAGCCAAAGTTGTCAAAAAGGAACTGGTTGAGAGGAGCCAGTGTGCAGAGCATCACGGGGCTCCCTGCCATAGCCAGGCCATTCGCGATGGGTCTTCTCTTCAGAAAGTATTTCCCTATGATTATCACTGATGGCTGCAGGTTGAGAGCAAGGCCAAATCCTGGAACAGAGAAAAACACCTGAGATACAAAAGAGAAGACTTGAAACCTATTTGTCCTCAGCTCATCATTTAAAGGAAATTCATGGACAATTGGTCCACTGGCGGCTCTTCAGCATGGTAGTCTGGATGTAAACTTTGTTGAAGATATATCCCTAAGCTTCTGCTGCCACGTTTGGGTAACCAGGCCTCAGAAAGACACTTGCAGTCAGAGAACACCCCTTCCATTAGCACTGCAAACCTCCTGAGTGGCAAACCTAGTCCAAAGAGTTTGATTCAAAACAAAATGAAACTATACCCTCAGTTAATGCTGGCTGGTTTTGTCCAGATGCAGGAGCCATATTGCAGAGAGAAGGGAGCTATTAAAAACCTAAAAAAAGACAACTCCCAGTTTCAGGAAGGTTGTTCTGGCCCAGACAGTGCTAACAACCAAAGCTCATCCTTCTCACATGCTGCTGGGGCTGGCACCCCCACCCATGGGTGACGGGCACCCAACACTGCTGCTGGGCAGACAGACCTGCACAGAAAATAACATCGCCCTTCTCAGCTGGTTCTGGGTTGGTGGGGTGAGCAATTCAGGTCTGACACAAAAGATTAAGAGGTCTGCAAGTACACAGCAAAGCAGCTCCTGAGGATGCTAATTAAGCAGGACCCTAGAGAGTTTCTTTTAATTAAAATGTATTTTTATTGCATTTAGGTATATAAATGGTATTATAAATCTGCACTGCTAATTCAGTTAGCCAGTTCCTCTGGCACAGGTGAAATCTGAAGGCAGAGATACCAAATGCTGTGATGGTCTCAATTTTCTATAGTTCTGTTTGACAGCAGTAGCATCTAATAATCTCTTTTTGTCAAACATTTCTACGAGCTGCAGCATTCCCTTTAAAAGTTTCAGAACTCCATGAAAACAACATTTAAAAATCGTGCCCCATATTTTCCACCCTATCATCAAGGAAAGAATGAGTCACATTAGAACACAGCAGAAATGTAATCCTTGAAGTGATTATATCAGAGAACATGAATCCCAAAAACAGGGTCATGCAGATTTTTTTCTTGTTCATTAGTCTATATAATTAGTTTGTTTAACTGTGCAGTACATAATTAGGTATATTACTTTACAGAAGAGAATTTAGAAGGTCAAGGTCCTCAAAATTAATTAAGGAACACTATCATTAGATGCTGATAGAGTAGAATTCAAGTGATGCAGCAGAATTCAGCTGATGTTGGATAGCTTCAGTTTGAATGGTTTTAGAAAATTAAGATTTTTGCCAAGTCTAAGATGCAATTTTTGTTAAATTACTTTGAAGTTTACCACATTAAAAATAAATTGAAATGGCGACATATTAAAATTAATCTTAGCATGAAAAACATTCTCAGGATGAACTTTTCTAGGTATTCCATACGTTTGGCAGGGCGTGTCTTTGGGAAGTACAGCCTGCTCATAATGTATAAGGGGCCAAATTCATCCCCAGGAGAGGGTTGACCTGAGAAATACGGAGTCAACACAACTTTTGTTAAAGAACACCCTTGATGGTGCTCAGCTATTGCTCAGCATCTCCTTTCATCTGAGAAGATGCAACATGGTGGATTAGAGTTTGCTTTAATTCTGTATTTCCCAGGCTGGTAGGTAAGGGCAGAAACTGAACCATCATTTCCACAGAGTCATTTTTGGTAGGGTCCAACCACATGTTGCATGAAGAGGGAAAATCAGACTATATGCCAGCTGCCCACTTAAACAATAATCAACTCAAATTTTTTATTATGTGAACATTAATTTGCCAGTCAGACAAATCTAATTTAATATTACCTCATGCTCTTTCTATTAATTAAATTTGGAGAGTTTCAAATTGGCTGACTGGAATTTCAATTTACTTTAAGCTTTTGGCTGACTTTAGTTGGAAATATTTAAATCCATTTTATTCCAGTTTTCAGAAACTACAGCTCTGTGGCTGAAATTGTTACTCAAATAACCACATTTTCTCCCCGAGGAAAATGACAGAGAGAGGTCTGCCAGTGGTGTTGCATGAACAGGAGCAAGCCTTTGCCAGAAGGAGCATCCTTCCCTAGAATGAATACATCTCACTCATATTAGAAGGAAATAAATGGTGCTACAGGAGGGAGCTGTGTAGCTATTGATCTTGTTCTTACTTTATCAGCAAGGGAAGATCCTACCAGGTATTTCAATGCTCAACATTAACAGCTGAGGCAAAGACTCTAGTCTCACTAGTAAACATGATTTACCCTAGGTCCCATTTTATTTTGTGGCAGTCTAATTGGTACAGATTGAACTAAATTCTGAGCAGCCATTATTGCTCTGTATTTAGCTTTGAAATCTGCTGCTCCTACCTCAGACCTGAAGAAGAGGTTGCATGCCTAAACACCTATTTAATGCACCCAGGCTGGCATCTGTCCAGGTTGACAGCTTGCAAACCCCATTTCTTTTTCTAACTGCTATAGGGAAACAAGTGAGGAAGAGACAATGGGTTTTACAGTGCATGCAAAGTGCCACAGCTCGGTGCCATCACAGACTGGGCTGCTCCAGAGAGGTGTCCAGCAGTGGAGCCCAGTCCCTGCTCTGCATGCAAATGACAAAAGACATCATGAAGAATGCAACTGAGATTGCTGTGTCTAATCCCTCCACTATAAACAGATCCTTCCCTCTCTGCTCCTCTAAAGAGATTTCTATAATATGTCAAAGACACAGGACTGCAGCAGAGACCTCCTAGGAGCAGCTCTCTTGTTTTAATCTCCATCCCTGTGACTTACATCAACACGGTCTTTACGTCAGTCTGTTTTCTTTCCAGGCTAGTAGGAAGGGGGCTATAAAGAGTGTGATGTTTACAGGTTACTTGTCAGTCACTGCAAACCCAGAGCTCTCTCCCCTCGTACAGGAATGCTGCCTCAGCTGCAGGATGAGCAGGCAGCTTCATAATTGCCCTTGAATGCTTCCATGTTAGGCCTGACCAGTGACAGCACTCCAAGTGTAATTAGAGGCATCAAGCATGTTAGCAGGATTATAAGCATCCTCCCTCCTCTGTCAAATTAATATTCCTTCCCCAGCACACACACTGTGCCTGGAAATGATGGGTTATTAGCTTAGATCCCATCCATACAGCTGCCCTCGTTCAGCAAGCAGAAGGAAAAGACACAGATAACAGCAAATGTGCTGTGAGGAAACACAAGAGCATTTCAGAGGAGGAGACACCTCGTTGCTGGCACGAGGGTTACCTGTGTGCACTGAGCACAGCCTGTACTATTGGCTCTCTGGGGTGAGCTGGTCAGATTTGCAAAGATATTCAGGGACCAAAAAAGAGCAGAGACTTCATAAATCCTAGGCCCATTGGGGTTAGGCACAAAATTCCCTCCTAGCAAATTTTAGACAAGTACCTTCGAAAATAGGAGTTGGTGCCTTCCTACAGCTCCTTGCCTGAGCCCTTCTGCTCACAAAAATGTGTATATTCTTAGCAAAGGATTTATGGTTTCCACATGCCAATTCAAGGCAACTTGCTAGAGGACCTTTGTTTAGCAGGGAGTGATGCAACCTCATGCATTGATAAATGTTGGATTTATCCATGAGAGACACTGGTTATTTTTATTTCTCACCACTTTCTTTCTGTAATCTCTCTTAAAGAATCTGCAAGAGTTATTCACTCAGTAATAAGACAGTTTCATCTAACTACTGTGACTCTCCTTAGAAAGACTAAGGTTTAGAGAGGGAATCCTACATGGGGATTTATTCACTACTGTACAGATTTAATAAAGCAATATTGGTGTAAGAGAACAGGGTGACAAACTTTCTGTCCCAATTTACTTTGCTAGTGGCTGGTTTTATTGATCTTAAATGTTGAGCTCACGCTGTTCATGTTCAGAAAGCAGCAACACTTAATGCAGCTGCAGAGAGATAGGGAACATTCATTAAAACATACACCTTGCAACCTCAAAAGCCAATTTTGAACTCATTGTGTCATGTCTTCAGCTGATGTCCTAGCTGCCATGGAAGAAACACTGGCTGTATCTTAGCCAAAATAATGAAACAGATGCTTACAATTAAGCATCTACACTCACACAGGGGGAGAACTCCAATCCATCTACCTCTGAAAGCAATAAGCCAGCAACTGCAGGCTTTAAAGATGCTGGACTGAGACTGTGTCTTCTCCTGTTTGAGCTTCCAACAGGGAAATACATATTTCAATACAGACAATTCAAATTTTAACTTCAATAAGAAAGCACCATTTTATATTTTCCTCAATAGGGAGAGTATTGCATATTTTCAATCAATTCAAGTGGTTATTATTTTCAGATAAAGGACCCCTTAACCTCACAAGCAGGCAAAGGGCAATAAACTAAGGCAAACCCCTGAAATCTCATTTCGTATCTCTCACAGAGGGAAGATAACACATAGTAATATAGGAACACAGGTGCCTTCTTCATAGTCTCACTTGTACCTTGATGGGCTTGCCTTGCCCAGGGCAGAGCAGAGTCAACCTGCATTCACTTCAGCAGGAGCTGAGGGCACTGGTGGCCATCCTCACCATTGCCTCTGGCCAAGAGCACTCATCTGTCAAGAGCACATCCCCTGCTGAGACCCCGCACGCGATGTTCAGCCAGGAACACAGCACTTAGTGAAGGATGTGTCCTTTGCTAAAGTTCATCTGGAGCAGTTAATAAGTGAAGGGCCCTTGTCCCACCAGCTTTTCCTCTCACCAGCTCCCCGTCGCATTTGGCTAAGGTGCCCACGTGTGGATGCCAGAAGTCATCAGAACTGACCCTCAGATGTAGGTGTAAAGGAGATGCTTTCTGCTTACCCGTAATGAAGCCCACGCAGATGTAGAGCTGCAGGATACTGTTGCAGAAGGCAGCTGAGACCATCCCAACACCACACAGCAGGCCTCCCAGCATAACCACGGGGCGGCTGCCATAGCGGTTCACCAAAATGCTGCTGATGGGACCTGAGGAGAGAGCACAACACGGCCCTTGAGGAAGGTGTCTTCTGACAGAAAGGCATGTTTGACACAAAGCAGGGAAAACTGTGCGACATCAGTGCCCCTGAGGAGCAGCTGACACCTTCTAGGGTGACTTCAGGAAGAAAATGGAAAAAGAGAGAAAGATGATCTGCGCTCTGTGGAGAGGGCAGCATGTCCCATGCCACAGTGGCTGTGTAGCTGGTGACAGCTCCTGCTCCCAGGACTTTAAAGTGTCATCAGAGAAGGCAAACAGAAATAACAAATCAGGTGAACACACGATCCCAGTGTAGGAGCTTTCTGATTTACTCTGATGCTAAACCATACAGACAAAGCAGTGGTTCCTGTTACGGGGCTGGTATGAATACTGTTGCATTTTTAATGCCTTTATTTAATGCAATTCCAATACTGCTGACCAGGACTGAAGCTTCAGCAGAACAGTTGTTAATTAAATCTTAATAGCAGTCTATGTAGGTAGAAACAATTTGGGATGATGGATTAGCCAGAGCTCAAAAGAACCAGTTTGGTCTTGCATTTATCTAAAGAGGTGGTTGAGTAAAGTGCAAAATTATGAAAGAAGGAAAAGGCTTAACAAAGACTGTGCACACTGAAAGGAAGCACTGAAAACTGAGGAAGTGCAACATGTCAGCAGCTCTGGGCAGAGGAGGAAAGGAGAGAGGTCTTGTGGATAGTAGTCTCAACCAGCTGGAGGACTAGTAAAAATCAGAGTCACAGAATAATGTATGTCAGAAGAACTTTGAAGGTGTCAGGATTAACCTCCTGCTCAAAGCAGAGAGCACTCTGAAGTCAGATCAGAGAAATCAGCTGTTACAGTGTGTAAGAATTAAAAGCAGCAGATATGACTGCTTTAATCTAGGGAATGAAGCCTACTGATGTAAAATACTTTCCACTAGATGTCTAAGGTCAAAACACTCATAAATTAAATACACACAACCACAGTCATAACAGCCTCCCTGTAACTGTATGAGCTAGTCCCATCAAATGCACCATTCTATTAACATTTCTATGAGTGTATAATCACATGGAGAGGTTTTATTTTCTCCTAATCCTGTCACTGGATTCACATGCATGCATCCTTTTACTGTACAGAGCACTACAGAATTCAGTGAGAAGTTCTGGGGAAAGAGAGAGCTATGTCAGCTCAGCACAGCGTGAGAGGGACTCCCTTCTCACTGAGTTACCCCTGGCCAGGGCTTGGACTGGCATCATCCTGAGCTGGTCTCAGCATGTCCTGTAATTCAATAGATCGAGCCAGTGATCCTCAGAAAGGCATCGACTTATTTATCTGCAGCCTAAGGGCACACAACTCTTCCATTTTTCAATTTTCCACATGTCCGCATTTCTCCAGAATCAATCTAATTACTCAGCTAAGAAAATGTGGTTTCAATTGCCACTCCTGCTGGAAGAGGACTTTCACATTGGCCCTAAAACTCTAGGATGCCATACCATGGAGCAGAGCATTTATCTGCTGAGGTCCCTCTCCTGCTCTGACTCAGGGAGAGAAGCCCCTGCTACAAGTAAACCAAAATGCTCACCTATGTCCCACTATTGCAGCACCCACCTTGGGAGAAGGGAGCTATGGATCCATGTCCCTCTCACTCCTGTCCATAAGCTGCTGCACTGGCTGCACCCACCAGTAAGGATGGGTTTGGACCATGACAGCAGATGATGAACTGGAAGAGGCTGAGGGTGGGACACATTCTGCTCTGCTTCTCAGCTATGGGGACAACCCAGAGGAGACACTGGAGCAGCTGAAAGCAAAAGTTTGTCTCCCACCCACTGGCTGCACAATGAGAGCACCCTTCCTGTGCCCCAGGTACCTTCCACAAACGCCCTCAACCACATCCCACCTTCTCAACAATCACTTATTAAGCCATGAGACAGCAATTGCTCCCTGTCCTTGTCTTGTGTCCACTCTCAGCAATGCTTTACAGCAGGTCTGTGTGACCTTCAGCCACTGGCCTCCATCTGCTGTAACGAGTGTTATCAGTTTTGCAGGGGGGTGATCAGTGCCACGTGTTTGCCAGGCTGGGTGGGATAGCTGTGGTCTCAGAGACATTAGATGGCTGGGCTTGGCTAAGCTCACAGGGAACTGTGACCAACTTCAGCAGCAACACAAGGCTTTCTCTTCTGCAGCCTGAAAGCTTCAGTCCAGGCCTGGTGAGCCTGCTTTGCTAAAGGAGCAGGGCATACAGGATCACAGCACACACTTGTGAGTGACAGCACTTGATCTCCCTGACCAAACTCATCCACAGAGGACTGAGAGTTGGAGACCTCTAAGGTACTAAACGCAGCTAGTTAGAGACCAAAACAGGAGCAGAGCATCTGGACTAAACCTTTCCAGCCACTGGAGAATCCACAGCAAGGGCCACAACAAGCACTCAGCCTGGAGGGAAAACATCAGCTAGACCTACACTTTACAAGACACCAGAGAATCCAGACCAAGGCCTCAATCAGTTGGGAAACGAAACTTCCCTGAGCTGCTGCTCACAGGTTGAAGGCTCTGAAACAGTCCTGAGCAGACCTTGCAAATGCACTGAAGCAAATGCAAATTGCAGCCCCAAAATTACTTCCACTTAAGTCATCTGGACCTACAGGAACGTGCATAGGATTGAACGGGGCAGCCTTTCAGAAGCTGTCCCACCTCCTGGCAGAGACCAGTGCACGCAATATGTCACATAGCTGTGCACACTTCAGCCTGCAAACCCTGCCAGGCTGGGCAGCAGCACAAAGCACAGCCACGTACACCTTCACCCTGCCCAGATGTCTCCAGTGATCAGCATCACACCCCACAGATCTAAATGCACCCCTCCTGCCCCGTTCTGCCACATGCCACCCATTGTGTGTGTCTCTCAGGGGGCTGATTAGCCATCCAAATGTTAGATAACTTGAACAGCAGTGTCAGAGGGAGCTTCAGAAGACATCAAATAGCTCAAGTCAGGGCAGAGGAATTAAGAAGAGGGAACAACAAAGCCAGCACTGCAGCTGTGGGAAATAGGAAACACAATTACTGCTTTGCTTGCAGCGATGGCAAAAATTAAAAGTGTGACAGCCCCTGGAAACACGGTGGAATTGAAACACAGGACCTGTCATTTACCAGTTATGCAGCCAGCATGAAAAGCATAAAGATGCTGTATATTACCACACAGAAACCATTTACAGGAACAACGTGTGCAGCAGATCCCAAGGCACCTTCACTTGCTAATACCTGCCTGGTCAAAAGTGCAGGAACCACGGGCTCCCTGTCCTGGCATCCAAACTAAATTGCTCGTCCTTCCTATGAGCCAAGGGCTGGAGAAGCTAACAGGATTGGGGGTGGGTTTTGCCTCTTAGAGTCAAGTGAGGACAGGGCAAGAGAAACAGCTGGCAAAGCTCTCAGAAAGCCACCATTCACCTGGCCTGACTCTGCAGAAGCAGCCACATGGATGCTGTCTAAGCCCCTGAGAAGTGATGGCAAGGGGCAAATGCCACCTCAGGTGGTGAGCGTGTCCCCTGTGCATGGCTTCCCAGGGGCCAGAGCAGCCAGGGCTAGTGCCAGCCAGCCAGCACTGTCCCCACAACCCCACCACCACAGCAGCACCACAGCTTCTCATGAGAAAATCAGAAGCAAAATTTAATCTCTCCCTTGCACCCCAAGGCCCAGCCACGGCCACCATTTGTCACCCATCGCAAGGGGCTGACACGAGACAGTGGAGGACACAGGGAGGATACTGAGTACCATGAAGAGCAAGGACAGCCTGCAACTCACTTCACACCCCAAGCCCTTGCAGAGCAGAGTGCACACGATGGGTGTTCTGCCTGCAGTAAAACATCTGGAGAGCAACAGTTTGCACCAACAGATGCAGCTGGGATCATGGCACTCCTGGAAGACTGATGTAGTGAAAAGCACTGTCCTCAGCCCATATCAATCACCCTGGTTTAGTGCCTGTCCTGCACAAAGCCTCTCTTTTCTCATACCTGTGGCAGATTTCCATTCGTTGTTAGCTGGTACATGAAAGGCCACGTCAAGGAAGCTGATCTTGGTGGCAAGCAAAACACAGGAACCCACCAGTGGGAAACACAGCAAGCCCCAACTCATTTGTTAGCTTGTCCAATTACTTTTCACCTTGAGTTTTGTGTTTGCAGAAGGGAAAAGGACCCTGAAGAGAAGATTGTAAAGCCATAAAGAAAATGCAAAATATCCTGGACTCTCCTCTCTTTTCCTCCACAAAGCCAGGCCATTTTGTCACTCATTCCTTCTGAGCTGCTGAACTATGATCCAGGGACGATCATAATGCAGAGCTGGCATTTAACAAGAAATATCAATCCAGACTGGCTTAAACTCTTGTGAGTATGACAGTGCTCAAAAAACAGACACCTGAATTGCCATTCTGCTTGCCTCAACAGGCCTGATGAATTTTTTATGAGCTGAGAAACTTCCAGTGTTGGTGCAAAACTTCAATGTAGTTTTAACAAGGACTAAAATGTTCTTCTCTCCCATACTTCTGACAATATATAATATATATCTCCCTTATTTGTAAAGTTTGGTTTGTCATTCTTTTTCAATTTAACCTAACAGACACAGTTTTGCACCTTTTTGGTGGAACCTGGGTTGGATGGAATTTCTGCTGAAATATTTCTGTACAGGTCTCTCAGAGAAGCAGCCAAGACCTGAGACCCTGAAAGACTGACCCCATAACCCAGAGGCCTCCATGCAATGTGGGTTTTTTCCAGGTTTCACAAGACTGACCTTCTGACAGTGTACAGTGGCACAGAGCCATTGCAAACCTCACATGTCTGCTGGTAAGACCCTTTGGTGGCTATGCAGATGACAAAATAGCAACATTTTAAACCAGTCCACTGCATGGACCCCATTGCTGGCAGATTTAGGGCCACCAGTGCCCCCATTGCTGGGGCTACAACATGCAGACCAGCTTTTCTCGCTTTTCTGCAGTGACAGGTGGCTCTAAAGAGCTGTTACTGCACAT